GCACAATCATGCTTGACTATTTTTTTAACAACATAGTTTACAAGCATAAAAAGCTAAATAATGCTCATTGCACAATCATACTTGACTATATTTTTAAGATTGTATAACAGGCTAAATCATGCTCATTGCACAATCTTAAATGTAATCACATTGTATCACAATAGAACTGTTAAGTATGATGGGAATTGCCTAATCAGTGATGTGAAGCACCAGCATCCGGCGAATTATTGTGTAGAAGAAGCTCGAGGGGTCGAAATAGACACAAAAGATTTCAAAGATTAAGGAAAAAGAAGGAATTCAGGAATAATTGTAGGAACTATTGTAGGGAGTGTTGTAGTTCTGGTGCTTTTGGTATCTGGGTTTGTGGTTCATTGTAGAAAGCTTAATAGTGGAGCAGAAATTGCTGCATAAAACAGTGCAGGATTACTCTGTTACAGGCTACCCATCTGGCCTCTTAACTAATGCAAGTAAGTTCCTTCAGAAAACATGATTCTGGATACACACTGAGCATATATCTAGAAATAACCATTTGGTAACATTTTTTAGGCTCTCTAGAATTATTTGTGTTGTTATCAAAGTCTTTTATGTGATCTAACCATTAATAGTCTTTTACTTGAAAGTGAGGCTAAAAGAACATCAAATCCTATATTTATCACAATGTATCACATTAGTTTATGCTTATTAGTTATCTGAACAAAGATTCAAGGGTACTGTTGAAAAACACAACAACACAGAACTTTGACCAGACAAGATTATGATCAATCCTAAATGTAATCACAATGTATCACAATATGATTATCAAAAATGTCGTAAATTCTTATCCAAACAAACAAAATACCCTAGTTTCCACCTTGTTTAAAACAAAACCAACAATATAACATAAAATTGATGTTACCAACATCAACAGTTTTAGGGCATGTAATAACAGGTTACCTGTTTCTTCAACTTCGCCTTCTGTGGTAGCAGGGATACTTGTTTCTTCAACTTCGTCTTCTGTGTTATCATCGTCTAAGTCGATTGGGTCGCTTTCATTGTTGGAGAATCCAAACATCGATTTAGCCTTGATCCTATCGCTTCTTCTTCATGTACCATTCCACATTACAGAAACAATGTTAAGGGATTCCTTCATGTTGAAATGTAGAACATCAAGCGATTTTACCTAATCTTTCGTTAGCATCCACCGATTATGTATAGTTTTCAAGTTTCGATCACCTCTAGGGTTTAGGGGAATCGTTCTCTAAATCAATAAGAATCTTCAATATATTTTGGATTCGATTTGAAATTTTTATATAAAAAATATTACCGACTTCTCAGCGCGCGCTCAATCGGGCTCAATAACTTAAAAAAAATTGACCATTTTGCCCTTTTTTTATTATCTCATTAAATGTCATTAATCTAATTTTGGAATCACATTAATTAACATTCTTTTCAATATTAACCATTGATTATTAAGATGTATGGTTGAGATTGGTTCTCACAGTTACCACAAACAACTCAGTTCTCATTTGATTAAGCCCTTATATATATATATATATATATATATATAGAGGGATGTTATTCTACACCCTTTGCCATTCCTACACCCTATACAACCCTCATCTCAACCATTCAATTTTTAATCAATTAATTGTTTCA